GGCCACATTCAGCGAGTTGACTTTACGCCAGCGGCACAACTATCGCCTGAGACAGCAACTACGGGCTTTGTACACAATAAACCCTCCTTTGGGTGGCTTCCAAAATTACGCCCTTCTTGTTGCGTTCTTCCTTGGGGACTCCAAAGGGCGTAATTCGACGGTGACAAGGACATAGCAACTGGTACAACAGAGGGCGTGTGGTTAGGCAACACTGACGGTTGGACATTCTTGTAATTGATACTGACGACCACCACAAGTTCCTCAGACCACATGGGAGGACGTACAATTAGTTTCACAAAGCCTAAAAAAATAGTAACTGAAACTCCATTGTTCTCTTAGGCGTTGAAAGAAACGCTATGCGAAAAAAAAATTAGAGATACGTTTGGAAGCAAGACCCCGAAAAAAAAAAGTTGAAGTAAAATAAGTTAGACACAGATGAGCAGCCGAGATCAGCTCAAAGGAGAATCAGTACTAATGAAAGTTAGCTTTGCGTTGGAGTGCAACAAGACGCCTTGAAGAGTCTGGATGAAAACATGGTCGCAATTGCCGCTTTAGTGTTCTCTTCTTCTGCTCTTCAGGCAGAATAAGAATACTGTAAAAATGGTGTTCAAATTCCTGTTACAGCTCAATCTGTGGAAGAGTATGGCGAAATGCAAGTTTCTACCAATAGCAATACCTTCATTGGGGTATTTATAGGAGAAACACGGATAATTTGTGTCGCCGTTCCCTAGAGCTTAACAGGAATTTAGCAAATGTGAGCTAAACAAGTAAGAACACAAGTATGGCGAATGAAAATTAGAAGTCAACGCGGCAACCGCAAAAAAAAACAGTCTCTGGGATTAAGTCAGAAAGTGCAAACATATACAGGCAATCAAGCAAATATAAGTAAAAAGATAAAAACGAGAGGATACAGGAAGGGGATGATGATGATGATGATGATGATGATGGTGGTGGTGGTGGTGGGGGGAGGAGGAGGAGGAGGAATAAGAGGAGGCGGCAAGGCCCGAGTGTGTTACATACCTGTAGCTGCATGATAGTTAACTCGCGGAATTTGAAGGCGACTCGAGAAGCCGTTGACGATGGGATGTCAGCCTCGCCAATCGCGTCGGGACTACTTAAAATGTCCAAAATTGTCAGTGAACCCAGCCTTATTTCAGCATGCGGCCGCTGCATATGAAGGAAGAGCAGCCGGTGGGCTTCCTCGATGGCTTCTGCAGACGCGCTGTAACAAGAGACCGAGACGAGGACTAGAGAGAGTGGTAGTCATTTCATTATCATTTGTTTAAATTTATTGTTCAAGTTGTTCGTGATAGAAAAATGTGTCATGACCACCCCTCGTTGCGACTGCTACACTTTTAAAGGTATAAATACACAAAAGTGACTCTCAGCGGAGCGCCCTGTACGTGGACAGGAAAAATGTGATCAAAGACAGCTATATTATAAATCGTTTCCCCGTGTTGGTCTAGTGTTAACCACTACACTATTGATGTAAGTCCGGAGAGGCTTTTTAAAAGCATAATAAATTCATCAAAACCGATGTATTCGGGACATTCATGTGATAGGTGTTACAAACCAGCTGTCACGTTTAGTCAACTAGACAGGAAGTCAGAGATATGAAGGTGTTCATCAACAGGAATTTTATTTCGGACGATTGACTGGCGATAGCCACGGAGATGTGAACTGTGCATAGTGAATCCACAGAAGATAGGTAAGTGGTGCGTAAGACACCTGTAGACAGAAGTCAGGTAGCGCTTTACGAAATACCAAAAAAGAAGAAGAAAAAGAAAAAGAAGGCGCGAAATCACACTTTGAAAGGCTACCGGGACCCAAACTTGATCGACAAGCAACTGCCAGCACAAGCTGAAATCGAAGCCCGGTCAAATGATTCACCAAACCCTCTGAGTGAAGGATGAGGTAACCTTGACTTTCCACCAAAAGCGTAGAGGATTTACGAAAATACCCCTGGTCTAGCTTAATTGTGCAAACTGGATTTGTTAAGAATATTCGTAGGATGAAGATAGCACTGGGTGATATTCTTGGAACCCCATTCTTTTAATCTTGAAGACTCCGCACAGCATTCTATTTATATTTTCATTTACTGTCCGCTAGCCACCCTAGTCATCTGCTGTCATGCTGCTATTTGGGCCACGGGGCTTCGAAGTCAGACTGGCAGTTGGAAATTATAATAACCTTGAACAACGCTTGCGGTAAAATGGAACTCGCGACAGCTAAATGTTGGAACCGAGCTGATCATCTTAAGAATGCAGAAGTAATGACAGGCTAGATCTAGTACAGCCTATTGTGGCAGACGAGAGAAAAGAGTTCATTCATACAGGAAACTCCAACATCTCCCAACGCCAACGAACGGACGTGTATGACCTAAACGTTGGACAAAAAGAGACTCGAGTCGAGTGTAGATCTTACGCATTTCGTCCAATAATCAATGTAAATAGAACAGTGGGACCTCCTAGTTGAAGGGGTTTGTAATAATGTTCACTCACCAAAGCGAAAGCCGAGTCGGGGGCAAAATAAAATCAACTAAACAAAAACATATGATAAGAAACCAGTATCCCATGCTAGAAAACGTGCGCAAAAACAGTATTTGTTTTCAGGAGTCACTTCTGTGCACAGTTAATCCGAACTTTTTTGTACGTATATAGGCCTATTACTCGTGCATCTTGAAAGACTTACTTCACAAAAGGTCAGAGGAAAAAGTTTTGGCTTAATGAGCAAGCAGGAATGAGAATTACCACAAACGCTGTTTTAGGTCGCGCAAGAGCGCGGGATCCAAGTCTTGTTTTCCCCGGGTTGTTAAGTATTCCAAGAGATCTGGCAAATTGGTTGGCTTTTCGGGCTGGCCTGAGCGTCGCTTGCATTTCGCTTTCATCTCCACTCTAAGCAAGAAGTACCACAAAAGTAAAATGTTAAAAGATGTCTTAATCCAAAAAATAGTGTAAGTACAATCAAACAAGAAGAAGGTCAGATATGAATATTTCTTTATTTTCATGATTTTAAAACAGGTTCTGGGGGCTTCTTTGATTGGGGTTGGTCCTAAAACAAAGTCGGGAGGATACATAAGGTTGTCATAAATAAAAGTTGAGTGTAGAACAAACCCGCAAACCTACATCTACTTTTAAACACAAGTTACAAAGCGAGTAGCGTGGTGCCCACTGCTTGGATTTACGTTGCAAAGTCAGTGGGACACACTACGCCCTTATAAATAAACGTATTTTCAGATTGACCGAAGAGTAGGTTTGCGGGTTGGATCAATTAAACATTAAAAATGTTAAATACCAAGAGCTTTGCCCATTCTTCGTTGTAAGCGCTGAAGTCCGGCTGCTCGACGAAGGGAAAACAAAACCTAAATAAAGAATTTCACTTTAGTTACTCATTTAAAGAATGCTTACTCTCCAAATTTGATCAGTTGCCCGAAGCGTCCAACATTTAACGTCAAGCAACCATTTCGTACAGTAGTATTCCTGATTTAAAAAAACGGGTTAAACATGTCAACGCATACCCCTGTAGGAGCTGCAACGTGTCACACGGGGCAATGAGTGCGCCCTTTTCGTTCCACACGGACAGATTAATACATCCAGTCCTGTCGGCAACTTTTACGGTTCGAACTTCGTTGCCGTCTTTGGTACGTGTTGGTGAACCTTAAATGAATAGGGAAGACTCAACTAAAGATTCAAATTTGAGAACAAGAATGTCTGAGACAAAGCGTTGAGCAACTTTCAGAATATGAGGACGCCGCACATTAAAAAGGCTTGAAGCAAAATTTAAAAATAATGATTTTAAATTCTGAAGTCAAAAGCTTACAAAAAATACTAGATGCACAAATATTTACATTTCCTTTTTTGAAAAACCACCTCACTTATGAAAGAATCATAGCGCACACAGAACTGCCAGCGGACCGTTAAAGCTTAAGCCTATAATGGGTTAAAATAGGGCTTCCGTAGTTAATTACATTAAGCAATGAAATGTAGGTTAAATTTAAAAACATTAAGACATGATGGAACTCTGTCCATACATTCTTGGCTCTAACATTAATAGATACACCTGAAAAATACGAAGTCGTCCCGCATCCGGAAACCTGTCAACGCGTAGTTTATATGAATACGTAAAGGATAACTAAGTTATATAACGTTGAGTAATTTCACTCAAATTAGTCCTGCACAAAACACGAGCAAATTTGTGCGTTTTACCCATGTGATCAACCGGACATCTACCTTGAAAATGTACGTCAAAAAACTGCTGCTTCTCGGACATAGCCCAGATCTCAGAGAATTGAAAGTAATATAGTTTCTCATTTGACTGAGAACGTAGTTTCTGTAAATACCCATCTACTAAATCAGTGGATAATATGATCGCTTTGTAAATCGTGGGGTATAACTAATTCATGTATTATTTTTCAGGGACCGGCAGTAGGTATGCCTTGCCTTTTGCTGTCGACAGCTGCAACTGCGCACACTACTAAACGGTCCGTGTGGAAAGAAATTAGACAAACCCGCCTTCAGATTTGCAGTCGACATTTTCGTCAGGTTCCTTAGCGTTTTGGGTATGTGAACAATACAATACCATGGGGTCTAGTCCAGACAAAGGTCATGTGCGCTCAG